GTGGAGTTCTAAATCTTGCCAAAATCAATCAAAATGAGGGTTACTTATTGCTTAGGAAGTTTCAGCCTTAATCAACTTTTAGGGTTGGAAACTTTTGGATTTCATCATATTTATGTGTAGAGGTTTTGGCTCCCTTGGATTATAGGTGTTGAGTATTGTCTTTCAACTAAAAAAGGTTGGATAATTTAGCTTTGATCTAGTCCCAACTCCTGCTGGGGCTTTTCACTTTTGAATGGGATTCCAATGGAAAGGAATTGATCATTAGGCGGCGAGATGTAATTTATTGGATTAGTGGACCATTGAGGAGGAGCATAGCAGATGAAAGTAGTAGAAGAACATATGGGGGAACTATATGTGAAGGAAATAACACGTGTTGTGATAGATGGTCAGGACCGACATGCAGGAGTAACAAGAACCGTTTTAAACTGAGAGAAGGTTCCTTTGTTAATACAGCTCCTATGAAAGTCTACGATGATGCTAGTCTTAGCATTAATGGCTGCAACGGCATCTACTGGTAGATCGTCAAAGTGTTAGTGATGATAGCAGAGGCAGTGATTATGCCAATGGTACTGGATGCATATTCTTGTATGGAAGCTTAATGACAGATCTGAGCGGACAATCGGCTGGACAGTACTACATCATCAACCAAAAGACAAAACATGCACTTCATGATACTAAAGAGGAAAGTTGGGTATGGATACTAGTGGCTGTGGCAATTGTTCTAATCCCGGAACTTGCCGGTATCTTGTTATACTTGAGAAGGCAAAGACACGGAGTAATGTTTCTACATTAGTTGATGAGCTCGGATGCAACAAATAACATACATGAGCTCGAGAATGACAGAAACAAAGATCATATTTAAAGGTATACAGTACTGCAACAATCAAGGCTATAACTTTGCATCAGAGACTAATCTCGGACATGGTGGTTTTGGGCCTGTTTGCTAGGGAAAATTGCCAAATGGGAAAGAGACAGCGGTTAAACGACTGTCAACAAATCCTTGACAAGTTGAATTGAGAGTCGCTGTTTGAAATTAAACTTGACGAGATAACCAGTAATGAATTCAAGAGAAAAATAATAATAATAATAATAATAATCAAGACTTTGAGAACGTGTCTTCTTCAACCCGAGAATCTTGACACAAGAACATGGCCCAACTTTCCAACTAAGCCGAGAATTCAATTTTCTTCTAGGCCGAATGCTTTTCTTGTTAGGATCGAATTATTTAAGCTTTTATTTACTTTTCTTTTTTTTTTTTATTTAGGTATTTTATTTTAATAAAAAATCCTATGCATGTGCAAGTTCATTTTAGAGTCCATATTTATTTGGAATTGGACTAGACTAATTAGACCATGTTTAGTTTGGGATTGGATATAAAGTTATTGAGTCCAAATAGGTTAGGTTACTGTGGTTATTATTTTCCTAGTAAACTGAATATTTTGAGTATTATTTAAACATTATTATCTACTATGGAGAAACAACTTTATATTATTGATTTAATAAAATTGCGTAAAAATTTTATCCTTGAGCTTTGATTAGAGTTCATATTTTTCGTATCCTTGATTTGATCACTCAAGGTAGTGCAATTGATCAACATTAACCAAGAGTATTGTAGGGTTTTAAACCTCGCCAAAATAATCTAAAGTTAATTTAGCTAAGATGTAGTGGGATTCTAAACTCATCAAAATCAATCGAAGCTAGGATTACTAACTGTTTGGAAAGTTTCAACCTTAAACAATTTTTTAGGTCGAAAACTTTTGGATTTCGTCAAAAGGTTTTGGCTTTTTTTGGATTGTGGATGTTGAGTTTTGGCTTTCAACAAACAAAGGTTGGATAATTTAGCTTTGATCTAGATCTTTAGAAAACCGGTGTTACAAGACACATGCGACATCATAACCTAGGGCATGATTCCAAGCACCGTCAGCAAATACACGCCTTGGCCCGAGAGAGCCACACTCCAAATCTCCTAGCAACCAAGACACGAGAAGGATATACAATGACAAATACAAAGAGAAAAAAGGAAACAAAGTACAGGAAAAGAAAGAGCGAAGCAAACAAAAGGTAGGAAAAAAGATGGCGACTTGGCAACTGTGGCGTGAGGTATAATGGTTATGATGATTTGATGATTGTTGTGGTAGATGTTTGGTGAAGATTATGATGGTTCGGTAGCTGGTTCGGTGGTTTGGATATTTGATGGCATCAGTGGTGAGTTTGGAGGCAGTGATTTTATGATTTGTACAGTTGAGAGGGAGAGGGGAGAGAAGAAAATTCTCTTCTTTGTCAAAGATAACGAAGGCTGAGAGTGTGTGTGTGTGTGTTTATGTTGAGTGGAGGACCAGAGGATTGGGAGACTCCATTCATAAAGAGAGTATATTGGTCTTTTCTCAATGACATTAAGAGAATCCTTACCACTCAGAAATGAGGCCACAAAGCGTTATTTCATAAGAGTGGGACACAAAGTGTCATCGACACTATACTACAGAATGGTTGGGATAATTTACCCCTAAAACAATAAGAAATTGGATCTAAGTGACCGTATAACCTGTTTCCTAATCAGTCAACAAAGTTCGAGTTGGGATCTGCGTTTTAGGTTTTCGACATATTTTATTGAAAATAAAAATACCAGAAACATAGTGCAAGCGATAGAAGGCATAAAGTAAACATTTAAACTCATATAAGTGCAAAATCCTAGTAGCTAGGTTGTTCTGCAGATTGCTACTCAGTCATCATTTTAACTTCTGCCTAAATGTCTAAAATTGTCAATTAGAGACAAGTACTAAAAAACCCCTGGACTGTTAATTCTAATTAAAAGAAATTGTTGCAATAATAATAATTGACAAGAAAAAACAGTCAATAAGGATAGTCTTTTTTTAAATTAATAAAAATAATAAAATCTTGATTCTGATTAAAAGAAATTGTTGCCCAAAAATTGAGAAAACCTAGCCAATAAGGGTAGCCTTATCTACAAAAAATACACATTTCTAACATCCCAACCCAGGGAACTATCCTCTTAGGATCTATACTCTTAAGAGTTCAGAAGACACCTAGAACAATAATGTTTGCAATAATCCAAAACTTGCACTAAAGGAATGCTATCTAGAAAAAGGCAAAGCCTCTCCTAGAAAAAGGCACAACTTAAAAATTACCAAATACGAGCAGCATTACTAGTAGGGAAAATACTTCTGGAAAACCTCATGCTTACCTGATTTCATAGAGTGATCATCCATTTTGGCCATGATGCTAGTGCCTGCAGGACTAGATTGTAATGTTTGAAATTCAAAGTGCAGGTATCAAACCCAATTGGTTACTGGAAAAATTATAAAATGATATTCCACGGTAGATATCTTGTCCTCAGGCATTCCGTATAAAAATACCTGTCACGCTACCATATAAGGATCTCAAAGCAAAAAGGTTCAATACACAATACATCGGTAAATTATTCTGCTAGCCCCTTAAAGTAATTGGTAGAATGCTATCAATTGAACCAAAAATAAAATTAAGAAGGCCGCCTTGTACCACAGATTAATCTTCCATCCAACATGCAGAAATTCCCAAAGGGACAAAACAACAGCCACCTTTGGATATCAGTTGAAATTCACTTACAATCAAAATCAGTAGCTAAACACCAATTTCCTAGCACTTCAAACTTGCAAAAAAATAAATAAATAAATAAAAATAAAAATAAAAAAAACTAAGAATTCACGTAACAAAAACATTACGAAACAAATTCAGCAATTGAAACAAAATTCCAGGTCATTTCTCCCAATATAAGATACTTTACTGAACTCGTGGGGGGGTTGTGGGTGGGTGGGAGGAGAAACACCATGCATGTGATGTAATTACGTGAAGTTTCTATCAAAGATAAACAATGAACCTACAAAAAAAAAGTACCATCGTGAATAAACAATGCATCTCAGGTCACTGCAAAAGCCCTTGCTCAAAGCATGAAAAAATGCAGAAAGTCTCCCACTAGTGACAACTCACAACTGGAGAAACTCACATCAGTATCAACTAAAATTTCTCAATTCATGGGAAACATCAAAGGGTATCATAGATCATATCGGATAAATGATACATATCTAGTCTAGATATGGATGGAGTAAATATAGTTCAATGCACATACATTGTAGCAAGCATTCAAAGATAGAGTCAAAACACTTTTGAGGTAGCAATATTTGAAGCATCAAATACATGACCTAAAGGCTGGAAAGGTATAGACAAGATCCTGATTGAGAAATTTAATCTACCATCACAAATATTATTCTTCATTTCTTCCGCAAATTCCAAATTCTCCACATGTTCTTCACACTTATGTTGACCAGGTACTGAAAACAAAGAAGTATTCTGCAAAAGAAAAGGAATAAAACCTCTAAACCAAGAGTTCCCACACATTACTAAATTTCAACCAATTGTGAATGGCAAAAGGAAACGACATTTTATGAAAAAGGAAAAAACTAGTTAATAAAAAAATTGGTTTATTAATTTTTTTTTTCCCTGCAAATGTAATGCCAGGTACCAGCAACATGCAATGACTTCAGTAACAACGATTTTTGGCAGCAAGGAGAAGATAATGGACAATCACAACAAATCAATCCTAAAGTAACATGTGGGTTGTACTTAAGAAACATAAGGATAAATAAACCACATTTAATGGTAGAAAACTTTATTGCGTCAATGGAATAAGTCAATTCAGCCTAGGCTCCGTTAAGGCTGATTTAAGTAATGAAGCCATGCATGAATACCAACTGCTATTGAAGTAGGATTACATTCCTCATTTTAAACTGCTATGTCTAAAAGATGAAACGTCAAAAATATATATAAAAAAGAAGTGCTGCTTGCAAATTTGCATGCTTGTGTGAAAGAAAAAAAGTGGAAGCAAAACTTATGAGGCCATAATCTAACAAACATTAAAACATCAGAAACAATCACTGAGTAGCAAAAGTACTAAGAATCTAAGACCAAAACTACAAGTAGATGAAATTAAACCTCAAAATTTTCCATCAAGCAGCCAATGCCCCATCTTGAAACTGCTGCAACATATCACAATAAGGGGTCTCCCTTACAAAACCCCACTGCTTCCTCTGCAGCTCAAACCTACAATTCTGGGCAAGGACAGAGACATAGTCCTTATCCACCTTGGCTTCCAGTGCAGCCCTATCATGGGTACCCGGTGGATAATCCTGCTCAAACTTGGTACTCTTCACATAAAAATTAACCCCCGTCTGCGTAGTAAACCTGTACTCATAAGGATAGGACCTGGATAGGGCATAAATAGGCTCAGAGGACGGTAGAAAGTTGAAAAGGAAAATAAGAAGAACCGGCAGCAATTGAATCAATGCACGTAAATTAAAGCCAGATCCATTATGATCCATTCTAGGGCCACCCATCCCAGCTCCAAAATTAAAACTGCGAAACTGGGTGGTGGCAGGCGTCATTCCAGCTCCAAAGAAGAATTGCCTGAATATCTCGTCAGGATCGAAATCATCATTATAATTATAATAGCCATGACGATGATGATGCCTGGAAGCGCGTCTCTCGTAGACAGGCTCTTCGGTTCCGGTAACATCATATTTACTCCTGCTCTCTTCATTGCTAAGGCACTGAAAAGCTTTGGAAACGGCTTTAAAAGCATCCTCAGCTCCAGGAGACTTGTTCTTATCAGGATGGACTTTGAGCGATAGTTTCCGATATGCTTTTCGAACATCTTCTACAGAACAAGATTTTTCCAATCCCAAAATCTCATAGTAATTCTTCTTCTTCCTGATTTCTCTCACAATCGCAATTTGCTCCTCTGTATATGATGTTGAAGATGATGATGACCCCCTGTGGCGAACCTTCGGTTCGTTTGAGGCCGTGGCTGTTGTGGGTCCATTCTTAATTTTTTCAGCCGCACTTTGATTAGGGTTATCGTTATCGGCCGCAGATAAGAGATCGTCGACAGGGAGAGTAGGGTCCAGGCGGCGAGCTTTGGTGATGAATTTTAAAGCACGGACTCGATCACCGGATTCAAGTGCTTCTTTGCCGATTTTCAAGCATTTCAACGCTTCGTCTTTATTACCATCCATTTTCTGATGGTTCTCAGCAAGGATAACTAATCAACTAATACAAATCAAAAGACGAAAATCCAAATTGCCAGTGGATCTGAAATTGATAGATTAGGGTTTCAAAATTTGGGAATTCTGTGAGAGAAAAAAATGAAGGTGAGAAAAACAAATATCTGTGAATTTGTCGTCCTCTATGTATATATATGTGTGTGTGTACACGTTAGTTAAGGAAAAAAACAAAAGGTCAAAAACTTGGTAATTGGGGTGATTTGGGCTTGGCCCTCAACTCTATCTATCACCTGAACCAAAGCCCAAGGACTAATCAACCCTCTTAAGCCTAATTCGATTTTATAAGGTTTACCATCCTATATTATAAGCAATTAATTAATTAGTTTTTTTATTAATTTACTTGATATGTGTCCTCCTCCTCTGTTAGAAATTTTGTCCATAAATTTCCGTAACCTGATTAATTGTGCTTTACTTGATATGTGTCCTCCTCCTCCGTTAAAAATTTTGTTCATGAATTTCCGTAACATGAGTAATTGTGCAACACATATATTTTAATTTGATTAACTTACAATGAGAAGTGTTAGCAACACTCTCACTAATATTCTCTTTTACTAAATAAAAATATCAACATCAAAAAAATATCAAATAGAAGACAATTTATCATCCATGTTTTAAAAAAAAAAAATTAAATTATAACAATCTCATATTATTTAAAAGATTAAAATTATTGAGAAAATTTATAAAAATATTTGACATTGAACAAGTTTTTTAAGAAAATTGTTGCTAGCACTCCTAACTTACAATTTCTTATTTTTTATTTCTTTTTGCATTAAATGAAACAAAAAAAAAAGCAAAAGAAACAAAAAAAAGTTACACAAACCTTCTTTATATAAATTGAACCTCAAGCTATACGATCTATTCAATTCAAAAAACCCTAACAAATAATAATAACAACACAATCACCAACCACCTTCTTCCATCTTTTTTCATTGCCATAGTAGCCACCAAGACAATGAACAACTATGACAACCACCACCAACAACAACCATAGTAAACCTATCAACAAAAATTGCGAACCTACCAAAAGCTATCACAACCAACGAAGCAATCGTAATAGATGTTCTTTTAGCCATTAACCAACTAGAAGTTGAAACCCACTAAGTATTGTTATATCTTACTAGTGATAGTAAGAACCCAATCTTATAAGTAGTATATCGTCTTGTGATTAATTTATGGATTTTGCCAACTATATATGTATATATGTTGAGCATAGCATTTGGAGTTACTAACCCAATTGAATGTGATGATAGGATTTACCACCCTTATGTATTGTTTTATATAGATGACAAAATTGAAAGAAAGCAAAATTAACTACTTCTTTTATTTCAATAAAAAACTTGTTTTACAAAAATTATACGTTTACGACTCCGTAAAAATTATAGAGAAAAATAATAGCTAGCCCTATTTATATTACAAGAAGACAAGATGAAATTTTATACCTAGTAACTCGTCTAACTTACTTTTAACTGTCTAACTAATTACATAATTAGTTTGTTAATGATGTGGCATCCACGTGTCTAAGCTTTACCTTATAATACTCCTCCTCGAGAGGAGCATGGATGTCAATCATGCTTATCTTACTTGTAAGAAAGTGGAACTAAGAAGGTCGAATAGGCATTATAAACAAGTCTACCACTTGATTATCAAATGAGATATATTCTAACTTCAAGACTCCCGTAACAATCTTTTTTCCTAGTGAAATGGCAATACATTTCAATGTGTGTTTGTCTTCTCATGAAACATAGGATTCTAACTTATACGGATTGTTGACTAGTTGTCATATTTAAGTGAAACCGATTCTTTGTGCTCAAAACCTAAGCTTGCAAGTAAATTCGGTAACCATTTGACTTCATAACAAGTTATAACCATAGTCCTATATTCGACCTCGATTGAACTTCTTGCCACCATAGTCTCCTTCTTGGATTTTCAATTAACAAAAGAACTATATAAAAAAAAATAGAGTAGCCGATCATTGACCTTCTAGTGTCCCTACATCTTGCCCAATCATTATCACCATATGCTACCAATTTATAATTAAATTTAAAAAAGAACATCAAACCTTTACTAGGAGATTGTTTCAAATACCTTAGAACCACTAAATGCTACCTATAAATGTATTTAGGTTGGCTTATCCATGTACTCGTGACAAAACTTGAGTGGCAAACAAAATGCCTTGGCTAATAAAGTTCATATATAAAAGTTTCCCAACAAGTTGTCTATGTATAATAAGGTTCTTAAAAAAATCAAAGTCTCTTTATATAAGTTTCTCACTAGAATCAATTAGAGTTGAAACTGGTTTTGCACCCAACGGACTATGCTCGACTAATAAATCAATCATATACTTCTTTTAACATAAAACACTCTCTTTTTCGGACCTTGTAACTTCAACACCCAAAAAATAATTTAATTTTTTCAGATCTTTCATTTTGATTGAAAGTGTAAGAATTGCTTAAATTCTTTAAAAGTTGCATCACAATTACCTACAATATGTCATCGACATAGACAAGTAAACTAAGAAAAGCTTTAATAGATATCCTTTTAGTGAACAAGGAATAATTTACCTTGGATTGAGTGAAACCAAAATATAGCAAAGCTTGAATAAATTTAGAGCTTCGCTACCTTGATGCATGTTTTAGACTATACAAGGACTTATAAAATTGGCAAACAGAGTTGTGTATACTCCCTCGACTTCGATATCCCAATGGAATGTCCATATAAATTGTCTCCTTCAAATCACCATTAAGGAAGGCATTATTGACATGAATTTATGATAATGACCAGCCTTGAGATGCTACCAAAGATAAGAAAACATGAACTATGGTTTGCTTTACCATTGGACAAACAATATCTTGAAAATCATACCCGACTTATTGATTGTAACCTTTCACCACTAACCTAGTTTTATATCTCGTCTATAGAACCATCCGCATGAAATTTAATTTTGTAAATCCACTTACAAACTACACTATGATGCCCATGAGGAAGAGAAACAATAGTCTAGGTATTACTCAACTCAAAAGCATCAAGCTCAAATTTCATAACACTCTCAAGTGAGCATATTAAACAATTTGGTGAAATGTGTGTGGTTTATCAAGGTTACATAGTACAGCAAGAAAAGTTATGTGTGATGAAGATAACATATCGAAGAGATAAAACGATAAATGGGATAAGCGAGTAAAAAGGAAATAGGTGAAGAGTTAAGTATAATAGCCAAACTAGTATGATATTCGGATAAATAGGAAGGGTTTTTTTTTTTTTACTCTACTACTTTTCTTAACGGGAATATCTAAAGATGAAGTACTAAGTGGTGTAGAAAAAGATATATTAGGTGATGTGAAGTCACGCACATAAAAAGAAACATTATGGAGATTAAAACTAGAAGAAGAAACCAGTTCGTTTGAAGAGTAGTCATAAAAAGGAACGAAACTGGATGTTCTAAAATATATGAACTTGAAGAGTTAAGTGATGTATGAATAGGACTATTAGAGAAAAAAGTGAAATTCATGTGGTATAGAAGAACCATGCTTAAAAGAAAAAAGAAAGACACTCTCATGAAAAACAACATCTCTAAACATAAAAACAAAATTAGAAGTTAGATCATAAAGTTTATAAGCCTTTATACCATCGGGATAACCAATGAATATGCATTGTTTGGATCTAGGGTCAAACTTTTTCCTACTATGAGTAAGTGTAGAAGAGCAACACAAAGAAAACCAAAGACTTTCAAATGATTATAGGAAAGGGGTTTGTTGAATAAAAGCTCATAAGGTGTTATGTTTTATAAAATAGGAGAAGACATTTTATTGATTAAATGAGTTATAGTTAGAATTGCATCTTCCCAAAAAGAAATAAACGAGATGAGATTGAAAGAGTAAATCCCTAGCAGTAGTAACTAATTATTGATGTTTTCTCTCAATAATAACATTTTGTTAAGGATTTTTCACACATGACAATTGATGTAAAACCTTTTTTTAGAATAGAATTGAGGTAACTTAAATTCGGACCATTATCTAATTGAATTTCTTTAATATCAAAACCAAATTAAATATGAATGAGATTGAAAAAGCTCAAAATAATGGAACTAACATCTAATTTGTTCTTCATTAAGAAAACCCCAAGTCATTTAAGTAAAATCATCAACTATAATTAGAAAATAATGACATATTCCATGGGCGGATTGTGAATAAGAACTCAATATATCGGTATGAATCAATTGAAATAGGATTATAGTAGTTTGTATATGAACGAGTGTTAGTGTAGGTGCTCAAGATCTAACCTTATTTAGATGGTTTAACTTATTGCATTCTTTATTTTATTGATAAAAAAAGTCTTTCTATTAATTTTTTTTATATATTTATTAATAGAATTAGATAGAAGTCCATATGATATGAATTGCATTAATTATTGATCAAAAGATATGAGACAAGTATTAATACACTAAAATGATATCATTAAATGTTCCAAGTCATAGCATTATCAAGAATAGACATTGACTATATACGATAAGACTTGTGAGTGTTACGCTCATGCTATAAAGTAGCAATAAGAGATCTCATACCAATTGGTATGATGATGCCAAAACAAGCACTTAGGTGATTAATGTTAGAAAACATATCACTGGACTTGACTTATCATGATAACCCATTTAGTTTAGTCTATAAGAATCTCAACGACATGGATACAATTGTTCCTTTAACTTGAAGTCATCATGGTTATCTCATTAGAGAATTTATGCATTTTGATACTCGTTTCGAAGGACTCGGTAAAGAGTTATACATGGGCGATTCGTTGAGTGGACTAGGAATCTAATAAAGATACGTTGATAACTAAGATAGAACATATTATTCCTTATATGCTAAAGGATTTATCACATTGTATTTTGATAAATGTCCGCTCAAGAAATCTATGGTCACAGTAGTAGTATACCGATAAAGCATAGTTTATTTAGTTTA